GGGACGTCCAGGTGACAGCCGGTGACAGAGGACACCCGGGGGGACGCCTGGAGGAAAACGAAGATCCGAAGCGGCATCTGCGTGGTCCGGCACAGTGGGGTGGGGATCAGCTCCCCTTCCCAGCTGAGTCTGGGCCCCTTTCCCAGCTAGGAGCCGGAGCAGCGCCCGCGCCCCCTCGGGCCTCCCTGAGTCCCGCACACCCGGCGCCCGGTCCTGCTCCGCTGCCTGACGCTCCTGCACGCAAATGGCTGCAACGATCCTAGCAGTGGGTGCTGTCTCCAGGACGTTCGTCGCCTCCAGCTTCACAGAGCCACGGAGAAAGCCTTCATAACCCCATTTTGCTGTTGCGCAAACTGAGGCGCAGAGAGGGCAAGTGGCAGCCAGGATTCGAACTCGGGTTCTCCTATAAGCCCTACTGACGCCCATAAACCCCCTCAATCCCCTTTGTTGAGCACTTCCAAGTTCCTAGCGCCCTCTGCCAGTTTGTGCAAGTCCTGTGAACCTGAGAGCGCCAGCACACGCACGGGGTGCGGGATAGTTCGAATCCACTCTATGAGGAAATCCAGGTTCGAGCACGCGGCCGGTAGTGGAGTCCTCACTCTCAGGTCGTTTATAGGCCCGCCCGTCCTTTCCCTTATTTTAATTTGTTCATCCGTCTCTCCTTTCCTCCCCCCCTCTTTCCAATCTCTCTTGGCTCTCACTCGGAAGCCCCTTCCAGAAGCTGCGATGGCCTTGGCGGCACGCCTGAACTGGTGACCCTATAAGCCCTGGTGTGTCTGCGGCGCCCTCTGCAGGCGATCAGGTACTTGTGCAGGCCTGTCGACAGGCCCAACGAGGGGATCCTGAGGGCATCAAGAAGTGGGCCTTGGGACCAGCAGATGGCGTCATGGTTATGTCGTTGGACTCCCACCTTGCTGACCATGGTTCCAGTCCCGGACCTGGCTACTTAAAACTCACGCCAGGCACGTATGCGTGCGTGCCCAGAATCCTGAGAGAAGAATGGAGGAGAAGGGATTGCAATGTGGCGGTTCCCCCCAGGGTGCGATTTCTCGCTTTCTGTCTCTCTGTCTGGTGAACACACAGTCCATAGTAAAAGTCTCTCTCTAAAAAAACGTGATCTTTAGTCCACAGGTGGGTCCTTAAAGGGCTCCTGTGACTCTAGTTCTCAGCCGAGGATAGCAAGGGTACCCTCAGGAGACCCCCCCCCCCACGCACAGACCCACAGAACCCTCTCTTCTGAGGTGATGGACATCTGGAGTCCTATGACCTGAACCCCAAGATATGAACACTTCTTAGCGGGAAGAGACAGTTCTGACTACTAGTCCAATCTCCGTCTGTCGCGGAAAAAGAAACGGAGGTCCAAATGGGGAAGGTCACACGCAGGAGAGGAGCACAGCTGTGGGCCTCCCAACCCCTGCTACTGCTACGCCGCCTGGCCCCGCACACCACCTGGGTCCACGGCACCCTCACCCACTGCTGAGGTGCCAGCAGTCAGCCCTCTGGTTTTCTCCGTAAGCCACCACGTGGGTTTAGGATAACCCAGATGAGCTGATGTCCTTTTAGGGCCATGTGGGGGAAGACGGGAGGCTTCCCAGGGAAGTAGAAGGAGAGTCATGGCAGAAGAGAAAGAGAAGGGCCAGCACGTGGCGTGGAGGTTAAGGCACTGGATCCTGTATGGCCAACAGTTTGAGTCCCAGACCCAGTGGCTTGAAAAATCACACTGGGTACATGTGCATGTGTGCCCAAAATCCCGAGAGGAAAATGGAGGAGAAGGGATTGTGGTGTGGCCATCTCTCCTCCCCCTATATTGTGATTTCTCACTTTCTCTCTCTGTTTTCTCTGTCTCGCTCTCCTGCAAGCACATGCGCACTATAGCAAACTGAAAAGAAGTGGGGAGAGGGGAGAAATTCGAGAAAGGTGAAACTATGGGAGTCCAAGGAGGGAAGGAGGGTGAAGAGGCTGAAAGACGCCAAGGAATGAACAGGCCCAATCTCAGCTCACTTTTCTTTTCCTGCCTGCAGGGTCTCTTGAATAGAGTGACCATATGTCATCAAAACTGGGATGCTTAGAGAGTGACCACCTCCCTGCCTGGCCAGGACAACAAGCATAACCTGAACTCCCGCCAGCAGGTGCCCACGAGTCCGTATAGCCACTACACCCTGAGTCCTGGCCAGAGATGCCACATGGACAATGGCTTCTCGGCATGGCTGGCTCGCCTTGCGCCAGACCTCAGTTTCCAGCTGTGCCCCTTCACCCACCAGGGCACGCGCATGCACTTCTGTTTTGATAATCACACTCTTTAACTCTCTCTCCCAGCTAAGGACATCACCTTTCACCTGGTCCCCGCCTGGAGACCTCCTCACCTCCATATCCAGCTAGTCATCGAGTCCTGGCTCTTCTGCCTCCGCTGTGCCACAGAGGCCCTGCCTCTTCTTTGGAGGAGCTATTGTCCCAGTCTTCAGCGCCACCTCTCCCCCACCCCCGTCTTCTGTTCCCAGGTCACACTTCACATTTTATACTAAAACCCTGTAACTGGGGCTTCAGCTGAGTCAGGGTTTGACAGGTCTGAGACATCAGGCAGATCCATCTAGTAAGATGGACTCACCTCTTCCCTGCGTGGAATGTTCTAGAATGTTTTCAGGGCTTCTTACCTGTTGGCAAATCTCTAGGGATGTGACTCAAGTGCCCATACATGTCCCTTGATATGCTTGAGACTCAGGAACCCTTTGGAAGGAACTTGGCTTCCTCTGGAGTCAGAAACGCTTAGCTCTTTCCTTGGACTGACATTGCTGGAAGATGGCTGACAGGAAGGGGAACTGAGAACCTATCTGAGGGAGGAAGATGTTCAGCAG